CGAGAACCGTGGATTTTCACTGGTATTGGTACGAATACTGAAATTTTGGTACCGTGACAACACTGCCTACTGTTTAGGCTAACGTTAGCTAGCTAGCAATGCGATCTCGTAAACAACATCATAATGCTATTTTTGATAATATTATTATGATAAATTACCTTCATAGCCATGAACAATTTTTTTAAACACTTATAATATTTTAAAGCATTTATTATTTCTCAACTCCACAGCTGTGCAGTAAAATTCACTTTAAAGATTCACTTTTCATTCATGAAGATGACATGAAAAATGTGCCAAAAATGTGTCTCCTTGGCGGAAAACAAAAGGTGTGTTCGACTAGAAGCAGATCGATTGGTGTATGACATCAAAATACAGCGAGAGCGATTAGAGAGCAGACGTCTCCTTATGCTTTCGAATCACTCTCGCGGTACTTTGAAGTCATACACCGATCGGTCTGCGCAGCGCCGCTCCAAGTCGAACACACCTAAAGACTATTAAGATGAAAATGACATTAAATTACCATTATAACCAGTAAATGGCAGCAGAGGATCACTCATTAGTTCACTTACAATTTCAACTCCCTAGTGTTTTTTTTTCCTTTCATGTCTTGATTCTGGATTTATTAAAATGACTATTCTAAAAAAAATTTTTTTAGCAGTTTTACTTTACTTAAGTATAAAGTATAGCAAGTGCAGGAAATCACAAAATCTCATGTCATTTAAAAAAATAGCATAAGCCCAGACACCAACAGCCGAGAAGGGTTAATTATTTAAATACTTAACTCGTTAACTACAAATTAAATAAGTTCATTATTAATGGTATAACAATTAAATAATAATGCATTCATTGTTTTGAAATATTTATAGATTTAATGTAAAAAAATATATATTATTTTTACAATAAATATTATTGTTAACTGTAGAAGCTGCTAAATATATTCAGCCAACAGACTTGTTGCTGCTATAGTTTTATTACTCAGAATTTAATTTGAATCACTTAATCCACAGGCTATTTTTGACATCGGTTTGTTAGATTTGTTCTGTCCATTGCTACAGTTATCACTGTCAATCATAGCAATGACTCACGGCATGATTTAGAGGATTCATTAACTTAATTTTTTACACTCGCATTTGTCATTCTTGAAACTGTATACATGGACGTTTGGTCCTCTTAGACAAACAAAACTTTTCTTCAAATTTTGAATGAATTAGAGAAACCAAGCAAAGGGCGCTCCCCTTATAGCAGAGTTGATTTTGACAGTTGACCGGAAATGACTGAGCTGGCTTATCTAAAACCAGGAAGTAACCGTGTATATAGTCAATTAGGAGACGATAAGCACACAAAGCTTTGTGCAATGGTGCTAATATTGATCAAGCAGTAAAAATGCCCATTCCTGCACCCAAAACAAGATGCATGCAGATGATAGTACGAAGCAAGCACTTGTGGGACAGCGTTGACCTGCACCACTTCACAAGACAAATTGGCACGACAGTCATTTATTATATTCAACAACAACATCAGCTCGTCCCATGCGTCATATGTCATTGTGTGCACATGCGCAAAACTTTCCAGTTTCAGCTTTCAATTCGATCAAGAGTTTACATGTCCTGTCGAACAGATTAGAAAATGTTTATCCCAAGTTTATTGGACTTTTAAACCGATTGTGATCAGAATACAGTGCTCCATGAAAACGCACCTACTGTAAAGTTTGAGGAGTAACAACCTCATTTAATATGTGATTGAATCCTCAAAATTTTGTGAGTGTGTGTGTGTGTGTGTGTACGGAACATAACTCATTCTCAGTATTGGTATGACTGATACCAATGTAACAATAGCAAAGTTTTGCCATCTCACGTTTGGTATCCGCTATTTTTGACCAAAGTAATATTACAGCCACCAAAGGCCATGTACACACTGCAGCTAAATTTTGTTGTCATTTCACCTTTTTGTGTTTAATCCTGTTCTGTACATACATAGTTTAGTAATTTACATGAGTGAAATTCATTCTACAACGAATTAACTCCCGAAAATTCAGGTAGTTACAACCGTATTTACAGAAATTCTATGCAATGTGTAAATAACCGAACTAAACAACTAGTTGTTAACATATTTAAACTTGTATCAGAGTTTCAGATTTGGTCCTCTCTTCTGCATGTGCAATGCAAGAAATCACATAAAATGAGATAAGTTTTTTGACTTAGTTATGCCAGATCTTGATGTGTATATATATATATATATATACTGTATATATTTATTTATTTTTTAAGTTTTTTTTAAAGTTTTACAGATTTAAGTTTATTATAGGCTTGTTCATATTTACTGTTTTATATATATATATATATATATATATA